GGATTAATATTTGCTTGAAATAAATTATTCTGAAAATCATTTACAGGAATTATAGGATTAATATTTGCTTGTAATAACAAATTATTATCCATCATTAAACTTTCATCAAACATATAAGAATCAACATCAATTTCTGTATCATTAATAAAATTATTATCAATATCATTAATTAAATTAATATCATCAGTATCATTATCAGTATCAGTATCAGAATTATCTATATAAGTTTCATTAATTTCATCCTTTTCATTTTCTTCATCGATTTCGTTTGTAATATGTTTTTCTTCATATTTTAATATGGTATCTTCGATAGAATTTAATTCTATAACCATCTTCTGATCTTCTTTGTTTTTATTAATTATCATTTCATGATCCTTTATTCTTTTCTCAAATTCAGTCCTTTCTTTTTCAAAATCTTTCTTTTCTTTATTTTCTCTTTTTAATTCTTCGATAATTAGTTTAAGTTCTTTATTATGTTTTGTTAACATTTCGACACTTTCTTGACTGAGTTTATATTTTCTTTCTAAATCTTTTATATAGTTTGTTCTTTCTTCTTGATGTTTTCTTTGTGCTGTACGATTTTGGTATTTTCTGGGATTTAAATCTTTTATAACATCATCGTCTTTTGCAGGTCTTCTACCAACTTTCTTTTTTTCTTCGGATTTTTTATCTTCTTTTTTTTTATAGTTTCTTTTCGAATACGGTTTTTCTTGATTGAGAGTAACAACTTTTGTTTCAGTCTTTGGCATTTTGGTATTTAGATATTTGGATTTGGTTTTAATAATTTAGTATTTCAGTTGATTTGTAATGATTTAAATTATCATCCAAAGATTTTTTAACCTTCTTTTAAAGCTTTTGAAATTTACAAAGGCGGATACAAAAACATGATTAATTTAGATATTTATGGAAATATCTATAGTAGGAAAATTTGTAATTACCAGATAAGACATATTGGCTTCAAAATATGCATCATCATACCATCTTACAACAATGAACTTTAAATCAATATTCCGCAAAAAAGATTCAATTTCTTTTTGGATTTTCCGAATCCGACTGCGTAATCTCGTTTTGGCAATTTTAAGATTATTAATCATTTCATAGATCTGGATAATCTCATCACATGTTGTAAAAAAATTATTAATAACTAAGAAATTCCTAATAAGGATAATCAGACATTCGATCTCCTCAATTATTGGGGTGTTTTTCATAAAAAAGAAATTAAACTTCGGACAATGGTTTCTGATATTATTAAGATCATCGTACAAATCATTCATCAAATGTTTCAGGCGTAGAAATTCTATCTGTGAACACATTTTGATTTTCACAATCAAAATAAGAACAAGGAACATTTTTATAATATTTTAAAATAATTTTGAATTATTAATGATTTTTGATATTCTCACACAATTGTAAAAACTTATGTAATAATAAAAATAAAAAGATAAATCCCCAATATCTGGGGTAAATAAATATGAATAAAACTTTTAACAAATAAAATGTTGTTCAACGTTTGACAAATACTTTATTTTTTTTTTGTTTTAAATAATCTCAATTTAGTATTGATCATGTTGATCTAGAATTCTATATTTTCATTCTATTCTCACCATTTGAAATCATGTTATTTTTTTGTTTACAGAATACCAATTTCAATCATTCTTTTTAATATGTACAAATCAAGATGTTACGAAAATACCAAAAGTATTTAATAATCAACCTGCATACGACACAAAACAATCCAAAAAATTTTATCAATTGTTTTAACAAAAATGAAATTCTTCAAGAAACTAATTCGAAAATTTTTAAAGAATAAAAACCAAATTTTAAATAATGAAAATTGGTCTTATCAACAAGAAGATAATTGGTCGACTTATTCGACCATCAATAAAAAGGATTCATTTGAAACCTCGTTACCAATCATCGAAGAAGAAAACCAATTTATTACAGAAATAAAAATTAACAAATATATTCTTTTTATAAATTATGAAAAATTTAAAGAATATTTAATTAATAATCAAATTATTCACTATTCATTAAAATATTACGAATATACAAATAACAAAAGACTTCAAAATATTCTTTTATTTTTAGAAGCACATATAAAAAGTTACTTTAATATGTTTAACGATGGTTATAAATATTCTCTAATGAATAATACTATAGACTTAATAAAATGGAGAGCAGAAGGATATGAAAATGATTTTGAACAATGGTTTATAGAAGTAAATAATATTTGTGAAAATTTTAACGTAAAATATCTTTGGTCTTTTTCAGACTTAGAAATTTACACTAAAGAATATTTACTTGATTAATAATCAATTGTATTTATATTTATTTATTTATTTATATTTGTATCATTGTAAAATAAAGTTCAACTATATTTTTAAATTAATAATTTTCAAAATTTAAATATTTATTGATTAATTAATAATTAAAATAAAATAAAGAATTTATCAAACATTGAACAACATTTTATTCGATAAAAGTTTTATTCATGTTCATTCACCCCAGATGTTGGGGATTTATCTTTTTTATTTTTATTATTTCTGATAATCTCAATTTAGTATTAATCATGTTGATTGAAAATTCCATGTTTTTATTCTATTACAGAATACCAATTTTTTATTTGTTCTTTTAATATGTACAAATCAAGATGTTACGATAATACTAAAAGTATTTAATAATCAATCTGCATAACGCACAAGACAATCCAAAATTTTATCAATTATCAAAATTTTAAAATTTACACAAATGTCGTTTATTAAAAAAATTACTAACAAATTTATTAAAAAAAATAATAACAATATTCAAACTGAGATTGAAGAAAATTGGATGGAATATCAACAAGATGAAAAACCTTGGAGTTGTATTGAAGAAAATGTTGATGATACTTGGTCGACCTCCGAACAAGAAATTTGCATTTCTCATTTAGCTGTCGAACAAGAAAATCAACCTATTATTAATGAAAGTTCAGATTTCACTTTAATTGATAATGAGAATTCATTTAATGATTTTGAATACTTTTTAGAATTAATACTTTTCATATTAATTTTATTTAATTCTATTGTATTTCGTTTATTTTTTGGCATTCTTTTGTTATACAGAATATATCATATTTATCCAAAATTTTTTCTTTCTGAAAAGGATTATATCAAGAAAATTGATCCATTTAAAATAATGTTTAGTCAACGTAATATAAATACTATATTTCAAATAGGTAATGATATCGAAAATACTATTAATGATCTTGTTAATAGTAAAATTAAAATAGAAGATTTTCCTATGATACAAGTTTGTATTATAAATGATATTTTTTATTCTTCTGATAACAGAAGACTTTATGTATTTCAAGAAGCTATTCGTAGAGGGTTAAATATTAACAAAATATCTGTAAAAGTTAAACGAATATCAGATATGAATATTAATTGGAAATTAGAAGGCTCATATAAAATTGTTCGTAATAACAATTTTAAAAATGTTATAGTTTCTCCCTATGCGAGAAATGGAAGAGTTATAGATGGTGAAGGATATTGGGAATACAGAGAATAATTTTTATTATTAATAATTATATTTATATTTATTTATTTATTTATATTTCTTTATATTATTTTTATTAAATAAAACAAAGAATTGATCTACTTATTCGATCAATAATCAAGAAGAGTTATATGCCCTCTGGATTATTAATCGAAGAAGAAAATCAATTATTTGAAATAAAAAAAAATTACTGTTATTTATATTTTTATCTGTAGTTTTAAATATTTATGTAATTGTGTATCAATATTATTAATAAAGTTTATCTTGCACATAATTATCAAAACATCTACACATTAATAATTTTTAAAATCTGAATGTTTATTAATCAAAATAAAATATATAAACAATTATATTTATACAGTCAAATTTATACAGTCAACATTATGAATGAAAATAAATATTTATTCGATATAAATTCTAATAAGGTTAGTGTAGTATGTGTTGAATGTATATACAGATGTAAGTCACGCTGTGGTTGAGTGAGCTTCGCATTGTCGGGACATTTGTCTACCTATGAAGAATCGCCCATGTAGATCTGTATATATAATTATAGGGACGAGTACGGTGGAAAGTTACCAATTATAGGCATTATGAAACATGAAATACTAACACTAATATTCTATAATAGATTTATATCAAATCACATGAAAAAAATCCTTATTTGATATTTAAAAATGAAATTATTAATTCGTTATATGATTATGAAATTAATGAAAATTTTATTACAAATCATATTAATGATGATAGAGATAAAGATATCATAATCAGTAAAGATGATATCGAAACTCTGATATCTTGTAAATATAGAAAAAAAGTAAATGTGAGATTTAATGATATCGAAAGAACATCAAATATATCAAATTATTATGGTGTACAAGGAGTTGTTGTTACCAATTTAGATTATTCTAAAAATGCAACAAAGGCTGCTTTAAAACATAATATTATTTTATGTAATCAATCGAATCTTATTAATAGAGTAAATTTTTATATTGAAAAGGAATTAGATAAAAAAGAACTTGATATATTATGTGACATCTTAAACAACGAAAATATTTAAATTTGTAAACAAAATTGTGCAATATTTATACATTATCATTATTAATAATAAAATTTTGATTGATTATGTACACGTTAAAATAATTAATAATCTTTTATTTAAATTTATTAATTAAATAAACAAAATATAATAAAAATAAATAATATGATAAATTAAAACATTAATTGTTTTCATTTTTTGTTTCATCATCACTGTCATTATCCATATCAATATCATTTTCTTGTTCGTTTTCTTCATAATTACTAACTCCTAAAATATTATTAATTTTATCATAAACATCCTGATTATTTTTTTTTCCATTTTTTTCACGTGTATAGCCAAAAATATGTTTAGGTTTACTAATAGAATATTGCATCATACTATGAAATTGGAAAATTCTTTTTTGTTTATAAAAAATAGTATATCGAAAAAGACTTTCACTACCAAAAATCCAGCAAATAATTCCTTCAATATCAGAAGTTTTTCTATATGTATCAACTTTATCACCAAGATTATATTCATATTTGTATTCAGATGGAGCATGAATAATTTTATCATCTTGTAAAAAAATTACACGAAGTAAACTATCTTTCCATTTTTCCATAACAATAGTGACCCCATCTTTTTTGTTTCTAAAAATACAATGACCCTCAGCACATGGTTTTCTAAGAGAAATAGTTCCAGTTGCCATTTTTCTAAATAAAATTAAAAAAAATTATTGTATATAAATTATTTTTAGTATTCATTTAATACTTACTCTTTTATTAAATAGTGTTTAAACGAATTTTTTGATTTTTTTACTAAAGGCATTTTATACTAATAAAATAAATAATAATCTTAATTTAAATTTAATCTATACTAAAATGTATTGATTATCAGAATTTGGTATCTGATTTATTTAAAATATTAAAATTTAATAACTCAAAAATTGGGGTGTTTTATAGATATACCAAATAAAATTAGTATTATTAATTGAAAATCAAACTAATTTATATTAATAATAAAAGGACTGCGTTTTGGATTTTTTTTCTTTACAACTTTTGAAAAATTCAACAATATCAATCGATATAAATTATTCTTAAAAATGTCTAACTACACTTCCCAATCTGATTCTGAGGATGGTTTGAATTATCTTTCAAAAACTATCACTCAAGAATACGTTAACACAAATAATAAAATTCAAAAGCTTGAAGATGCGATTTCTTTTTATCGCAATTGTCTTTTCTTGTTATTTGTTTTGATCATAATAATAACTTTTGTTAGTTGTTGTTGTATATTTATGTTATACAACTCAAACACACAACTACTTAAAGAAGCATTACATGTTGAAGTTGCAAAAGAGCTATTCAACAAAAACTTGGATTTGATAATTGATTTTCTCAACCAACATCGATTATGAAAATTGATCTACTTATTCAATCATCGATAAAGAAAATTCTTAAATTCTCATTACCAACAATTGAAGAAGAAAAACAATTATTATTTATATTTATTTATTTATTTATATTTGTATCAGTATTTGTATAGTATTACTATCATTTTATTTAATAAAGTTTATCTTATCATTTAATAATTTATTAACTGTATAAATTTATTTATTATATAAAAATTAAAAAAAATAATAATGAAAAAATCCAACTCTCGTAAAAATAAATAATAGTATTGAAAAATCTTCAGATATTAATATACATAATAATAATACTGTTATCTAATGATGTTGAAAAGATTATTATAAAAGATAAAATTAAAGATAAATTAGCGGTTGATCAAAATATTTAAATTTTATTTAAAATCCGAATCCAGAAGTAGAATTTTCATTAGTTGCGCTAATGGATTTAAAGCTAAATCCAGAAGTAGGATTTTCAATTACTCTAATGGTTTTATGTTTTTTTTCTTTTTCATTTTGTCTTTTAACTTCTTCATTTTGATTTTCAATTACAAATAGCTTTTTCTTATGTTCTTTATTTTCTTTCTTAAGCTCTTCAACCGAATCTTCATTTTTTTCTTTTTCATTTTTTTCATATTTAGCCACAAGTTCTTTCATTGCTTTCAAAACATTTTTTATATGTTCGATATCAATAACTTTATCAAATTCCATTTTAAAAAATGATTGAGTTTGGTATTTAATCAAATAAAATATTTTTTTAGCAATTTAATCAAGAACTGAGCTTTTAACTTTTATTTATATTTTTTTAATAATTAATAATATTAAAAATATTAATAATAATTTATCGAAATTTATTTTATAGATAAAATATAATTAGTAATAAAAATCTAAATATTATGAATTTTTAATAAAATATTAACTTATTTTTTTATTTAAAATTTCTAATATTAAATCATTTTGATTTTTAATATTATTAATTCTTCCGAATTTTGTTTCTAGCATTAAAAAAAATTAATACTAAAATTAAAATTCATGTAAAATAAAGATAGTACCAAATTATTCCAAGACCCCATTGAATGATACCAAGTAAAGTTTCAATAATTAGAAATACAAATATCAGTGAACCTAAAAAACTATAAATAAATTTGATTAATAATAATATAAAATTAAAGATATTAATAATACATACTCATGAATTATACGTATTTTATACACATGATATAATTTGGTATAAACAACACCAATAATAACTTCGATACAAATTAATGAAATTAGAATATGTCCTATTACTGCATGTAAATTAGAAGAAAATATTCTTGTCTCTATATGAACGAGAAGAAATCCAATTATAATAGTAGAGGTTGAAAAGAAAACTTGTATAATCCAATGTATACGAAACCATATTGTTGGTACAAGACTACGACCAAAATATGCAACAAATACACCAATAGGTACAGATATCATTGCCACAAATCCATATAAACTAGCTATATATTGAATTAGTAAATAAATTTTTATATCGATAAAATCATATTTGAATGAAAAATACCATGTATTATTAACAAATGTTTATCTTTGATATTAATAACATTTTCAAAAACTTCCATTATTAATAAAAATGTGTCAAAATTTATCTAAAATTATAAATATCCAAAATTTGACTTTTATTAATTTAAATTATCTTTATTGTAAAAATTAATAATAAAATGTTTGAATCGTATAAATTTGATGATATCAACTAAATTGAGTTTAAAAAAAGTTGATTTATATAAAAAAAAAATTAATTTAACAGTTATGAAAATTTAAGAACTTAATGTGTTGCTAATTCATAAAGAAAATATTCAAAAACTTTTCCTTTAGTTTTTTTCTCTTTATCAGTTTTTACAGGTTTATCAAAATCTTTAAACTTAATCTTTAACAATTTTTGAACAAATTCTTCAAAAGTTTTATCGATTCCAGAAAATACAAAAGACATTTTTTTAATAGTTTGTATTTAATAAAAATTAAGTTATTTATATATTTATTTAATTAATAATTAATTCATTTCTTTTAATTGCTTTATTAATAATTCTTGGCGATTGACTATTTCTTTTTGTAATTCATTATAAAACTCAATTTCTTCAATTAACTCATTTATATTATGTGTATGTTTTTCAACATTCTTAATAACATCAACTATTTCATTTTCATGACATAAATACATTTTATCATTATTTTCTATTCGTTTAATAGCTTCGTCAGAAATATAAACATTAGAAACTAAAAATCCAACTCTTTGCTTATCACACTCTCTTTCAAATTTTCTAACTTCATTTTCCATAATCATTTAACATTCTTGTTCGAATAAACATTTGATATGTAATCCAATTTTCTTATAATTTCCAATCAAATTATCGTTTTCAACTTTGATGATCTTGATTTCATTATTATCCAATAAATGCTTGATTAACAAAAGATACGTTTGGTTTTTTTCCTTTAACGAAAGCTAAAAAAAATATGAGTAATCTTGTTTTACACCCTTTCATCTTATGCACCTTGAAACCGGGATACATTTCATCCTACTCAGGCAGCGTGACTTATAACAAAACAACCCAGTTAAACTTACATTAGAAAATTCTCCATTGTAATCGAAAATCGAATTTCTTTCTTTAGTAGTAATTTCATTAACTGGTCTTATTTTTTTACCCATTTGAAATGTTTTTGGTATCTTATAAAAAAATTCATGTTTATTTATATAATTAAATAATTATTAATTTTATATTCTAATATTAATAATCATGATATTAATAAAAACAGTTGAAATTCAAAAAAAAAAAAATAAAAATAAAAATAAAAAAATATGAATGTAACAAAACAATTGAATAATTGGATAATAAATATAAATATTTATCTAAAAAATAAATACTTTACTAAAGGAAATAAAAATATAACTCAAGATGATAAAAACGATCTTATCAAATATAATATTTTAATTCTTGAAAATTTTCCTGATTTAAAAGAAAATACTAAATCATATGGAATTATAAATGATTTAAATACTAGCGAAACAGTATATGAATTAGATGATAAACTTCGTCGATATATTAATTTATATAGAAGAATGCCTTAATGAAATTCTTTGAGATAATACTTTTTGTAAAGCTTTATGTAATAATTCTAACTCATGTTTAAGAGAATCGAATGTATTTTTTTCCAATATCAAATTAAGTGTTTGTAATAATAAACCACTTAAAACACATTTTTGATTATTTGTAACATAATCATAATTTTGATTAATATCATCAAGAAATTTAGTTCTTATTTTTTTGATTTTTTCTCTTAATTCTGAATCTGTCATTTGAGTAAATAAATATAGTCTTGAATCAATATAATCGATCAATTCAAGTAAATCAGAAATTTTCTTATCGATTTTATATATAAATAATAAGAAATAAATTGTTTCTTTAAAAATATT